ATTAACGATAGCTTTATTTATAGACCAATTGGTTTTAGGCGATTCTTTTACTGTACATATTTTCGATTTAATATTGCACATCTTACATATAAACCAGCACTCTGAATAACAGCCTCTGCGGTCTTCAGACACAAAATCCATATCAATGAAACTACATCCCAATCCAATATCATGATTAACATTTTTTATTTGGGCAAATATGTAGGACAAATCGACAATTCTCCTACCAATAATTTCACCAAATGATTCACTGAAATAAAATATTTTGGATAGTTAATGTAAGGATTGGTTAGATTCGGTACATATAGAAAATAAAATTAGTATTACGTGTTGGAAAAATCGTGAGTTTGTGCTTTTTCAGCCGATAACACATGACTTTCAATTTCATCGATATTTCTAACAAAGTTCACAAATTAAAAAAAAGACATTACCTATATATGATTTAATATTTTACGTTCAAACTACGATTTGACGATTTAATAAATTATTGATATATACCTGGGTGTAAATTCATTTACATTAGAAAATATGTTTCCTGATGGACCTGGCATCGATCTATCATCTTCTAATAACAAAGGTGCCACTGAATTTTCTTCAGTCGACGTATCATGGGGAACCAAATCAAAATGTTCCTCTTGTTGAGCATTAAAATTAGCAGTTTTTAATCTAAACATTTTTTGATGAATATCCAATGTCGTACACATAAGCGTGCGCAGACCTTGCTGGCAGGGGGGGCAGAATGTAATAATGTACCTATAGGTATATTATATAATATATAGGTAAGTAAATATTATTTTGGTTATTAGTTCAATTAATGTAAGTGATGGAAGTATTTTCATTTTATGTATCATTAAAACTACAAATAACTACAAATTTAATATAGTAATTGAAACTCCAAAGTTTTTTTATATTATATTAATATACATGAACAAAGAAAATTATTACATTCATACAGTGGTGGATCCAGGGGGATGGAAAAGGGGGCATTTGCCCCCCCCCCCAATAACCGTAGTTTTCCTTTGTTTTACACTGTGTTTAGCCAATTTTGGAACTTTCATATACTTTTGAGCCCCCCATGCCCCTCCCAAAATTAAGCCCTGGATCCGCCACTGCATTCATATATATTTTTATGCCCGATGTGTTGGTGAAATCTGAATTTACTAATTCTACTTACTATTTATTTACAATTACAAAAAAAGTAAGTAAGATAGGTAAATTATTATTTGCACCAACACGTTGAACATATAAATATCAACATTTAAAAAAAAATGTAAATCCTTAGTATGATTTTTCCAAAAATAGTACCACTATTATATCATGCATTAATGTATCAATAATATTCTATTCTTTGGTAATATTGAAATTTATACATTATTGTAGGCATGTAACCTATTATTTAAACTGTTTTATAAATTATACTTTATAGGTATTTAATAGTATTAGGTATATAATAAACAATTTGATTTGTAGGTTACAGTATAAATAGAAAATTAATTTCAATATAAAACACCACATTAAAAAAAAAGATAGGTATATTCTGATTTAATCAACACGTTGAGCATAAAAATACTAAAATACTAAAAATTCCGAAAATTGCTTCGGAAGTAAAGAGCTATAATATTTGTTCGTATACTGCATACTAATTATTATAATTATTAATTACTAATTATTTAAAGAACCGACCTTCTTAGCGCTTCCGGTGAACGTTTTTCGCATTAAATGCCGTCAAATTACTACTCACTTTCATGTCTCATCACATCTCAATCTACATCATGCTATAATAAGATTATAAGCACTCGTTATCACCGCGGTATCGCTTGTGGTTCGCTTAAAGTTGGACAACATAAAATCATCGTGCACTGTACATCGAGCACTCAATGTTTACATAATATTCATTATATAAAACTGTATTATAATATTTTTTTAAAAACTTTGTTATTTTGTAAGAAAACTTGAGCCCGCAGGAGGGGCAGCTGCCCACCCTGCCCCTCCCGTGCGCACGCCTATGGTCGTACAAATTTAAACTTTCTCGATTTAGACGATTTTGACTTTAAACTGGCTTATAAAAAAAAATATCGACTCGAATTTTAATTTTTTTTTAATTGCGATAGTTAAAACTTATAAGAAACCTTGTATAAATAGCTCATAAAAAGTCAAAATATTTTGATAATTTAACCGTCTATAGACAACGCTAATATAAAAATTTGGTAAAAATTTCTAGTATTAGTAAAATCACGAGTGTGAGCCGTGAGGGAATAGAAACCCGTTATACTATTTTATAGTCGACGAGTAGTAGGTACCTAAATGACTTGGTACTTATGATAAGTACTACTCATTCTGTAAACTAGGCATTCTGTAAACTAGGCATTATTATTATTTTATTATAAATTTAAAATTCTTAGTCTAAAAAAATAATAAATGTATCATATTTTGTAATTTGGAATTTACCTTTTTGCATCACGGGCTGCTTTCAATCTTTCAGCCACGATTTTTTTTACAGACGGTTTCTTTGAACTGTATGGAGTATTCTTTTTAGAACGGTCCATTTTTTAGTGAAGCAAAGGCAACAAAATATAATAAAAATACAACACACAGTAACGGCAAAATAATTCGTAGCTTACCTACTAATTACTATAGTACTATAATAAAATACAGAACTACAGAAGTGATATTACTATTAGTATACTACTATACTATTATCAAATGTCGTTGTTTCATACCACGAATCACAATAATTATAGATAGAATAATATCTAATATCTATAATCGACAGACGACAATAATCGTATAAATAATTTATTTATAAAAATATAAATAATATCGCCGCCCGCCCGCTATAATTATTTTACAGATAGCGACGACGCGGGTCGGCACTCGGCCTTCATAATAATATTATGCAGTACACACTACACAGTAGTTGCCTCAGCGGTGGGGGTATGATATATTGGCAACAGCCGCCGCGTTGCAACAGCAGCACCGGTTTAAAGCATAAACGCTGTTTTTTTTTACACTTTCCATAAAAACATCCCCTCGCACTTCCAATAGTATTCAAACATTGTTTGTCGTAGAGAATCGAATTTAGTACCAAATTAAAGACCAGAACTTATTCTACGTGCCTATAGAAAGTTTTTTTGCAAAACTTATTTGCTATTTATTTTATAACCTTTTGAAAAATGGAAAACTTCTCATTGTAAAAACAGTAGGTAGGTATTTTTTTTTTTTTAATATGGCTCTATACGCACATAGACATAGGAGATATTCTAAGCTTTCTATGGGTATATTTAGATTTATTATACCATTATTACTTCCTGAGTACTATTGGAAGTCCGGGGCGCTGTTTTGATATTCAAAAAATTAACCTTCGACGTCCTCTTAAGAATGTCACAAATTATGTATTATAATATTGCGACCAAAATATAACAATACATGACGTGCCGCTCGGGCAGATGAGTTTAACGTCGGACGATATGTTGTCGGTCCGACGGTCCGATGGTGGATCTCGAATCGACTTTTCCGCCGACCGTTGTACGTCTAAAGCCGCGTACACACTTGTAACATTTTCTGTTACGCCGTAACGCCATAACACCGTTCCACCAATTGTCGGTAAATTTGGCCGCATCAATGGATGTTACGCGCAAATGTTACAAGTGTGTACGCGGCTTAACGCGACACAGTCCCCCCGTCCCGCCTTGTTGTTACCGCCACGGTGGGAGAGTCAACTCGGTCGCGCTGCTTGCATCCCGTGGTGGTGGTTGGAGATAAGATAGACTGGTCGCATTGTACTTGCTACTAACGCGGACCGCGTCAATACAACAAACATTAATTATTATATCGTACATATTTTTCAGTGGGGGGGCTGGTCTGTCTTCTGGGGGGGGGGCTAGAGCCCCACCTTGCCCCCCCTTGGCGTCGTGCCTGCGTAGGTACGTACGTAATTTCGTACGGACAATGTACAAAATACTATTTTCGTGAACCATACGTAAAATTTACGTATGAACGGGAGTCAGTCGTACGTACGATAAGTTTTCGTATACGAAAGTAGTTACAAAATACCGAATTGGAATTTCATACGAAAAATGTGCAATTTTCGTATACGAACTACATTCGTATGGCGTACAAAATAGACCCCCTAGTCCGCTCGTATCCTTCGTATGAGTGTTGACTTTCCCGGGGAAATACATATGAATATATGATGACACTTTTATAGCTTAATTGTTTTATACTACGCTTCTGCAACGACCTCCGCGTGTTATAATATACTAATTGACTTATTAGTTATATCGTTAAATACTACTAGTAACGTGGGATACGCTGTACATAATTAATACAATTAGTTAATTAATACGTAGGTACGTAACACGCTCAAAAAATTTAATTTGACTTTCTTATAGACATTTTATTTTTGATAAAGGTAAATAGTCTTACATGGAATCGTGTATTACATTTTAAAACCTTAGATTTAAAAAGAAAAAATTGTACGAATTCTTAACTCAAAATAATTTACCAATTTTCGTTAATTTTCCATATTTTGTCAATTTTATATTCTGAGTGGGACGATGAATGTATTGATTTTACAATAAAGTGTGCTTTTTTATTTTTATTTTTTTTGTGTCATTTTTGTTATTCACAATTGGAACGGTAGGGGAGGTGCTCAAACAATATGTTCAGACACTAATTGTCACAATATATTAATGTTCATAACTTTGGCATATTTAGGTACAAATAATTTTTGAGAAAATTACAAGTTTATATTATATTTAAACATTGAAGTATAATTATTAATTTATTACACTCATAAAATTAAATTAATATTAGGTATTAATTATCTTATAATAAACTTTAAACTATATTTGACATTAAAAATTTATATATTATCAATGTGAAAAAAAATGTTGTAAAAAAAAATATATATATATATATTATCAATGTAAAAATAACATATTAAAAATGACATTTAACTAAGTAATCCTTATAACAAAAACTAGTAGAACAAATAATATTTAGGAGTTTGTTAATACTTTAAAGTGTTCAGCAGTGTGAGAAGCAAGTGTTGATACTGGATTGTACATATCAGATCGATCTAAAATGGCATCCAATTCTTCGTCAGATAAGACTATACGAACAAAATTATATTAATAAAAAATTGGGAAAATATCCTACATATTATAAACAAATAATAAAATAATAAAAATACTTATAATAATCTACTTACTAAATCCATTTGGTTGTATTTTCTTAGTGTACTCTGATGATTTCAATAAAGTCATGAGATCTTCAATACTTGACATGGTAAGTGTTGCAGTTCTACTAAATGAACCTAGTTTGTAAAATAGTAATTTTATTATACAATAACACTTTTCACTCAGCTATAAAATAATAAATATGTTTCATTAAGAATAAGTTTTTATCTATATATATATAAAAGACAAACAAAAAAAAACCTATGTCCTTATGCATTCCTAAAACGTTTATCCGATTGCGATGGAATTTGGTACAGAGATAGATTAGATAGAAGATATTGTTTTTTTTCTTTATTTATACATATGAATGTTTGGTTTTTTTATTAATCGGATTTTAGTACAATTAGGTTAAGTTAGGATTTTGTATTAATTGATTGTATAACTTTGATTCTTTAGAGTTAAATTATACACTTAAGTACCGCTCGCATAATCACAAAAACCTAGCAATAGCAACGTATTGCCGTGTCCAGCTAGTTAACTATAAATAACAATGGTGTATACTATTTAGACATGTAGTATGTACCAATATATTACTACACTTATTATTGCTGTTTTAAATAAGATAACTTAAGTCAAATTTCTATTGTTTTCTTAAATAAGAACATTGTTAAATTAAATACATTTACTACAGAAAACATTAGACAGGAAATTGCTACTTTTGCGGGAATGAAAATTAGTGAAGTTAATTCACTCAATTAAATAAAACCTGGAAAATAGTCTTCTTTAAGCTCAAAAATACTTTAATTATTTTAGATATATTATTATTAAGAGGGCACTATACCCGCATGCGTTCTCCCCACAAACATAACATAGCAAATTATACGCTCGGCTGATCACGTTCATATCTGTTAGTTTGAAAAGTAGAGAGAATTGTCCACCTCTTATAAAATTTAAAGCTACAATAAATATCTAGTGAACTTCATAGGTTGTTTTTTTTAGGTTTAAATTTTAAAGCAAATTATGAGGATTTTAAAGTTGTGAATTGTGTGTGCATTTTAAAATGCTTATAACTTGCTATAAAATTTAAATTTAAAACCATATAACGTTCACTAGATAATAATCTTACCTTTAAATTTTATAAGAGGTGAAGTTACTCTAATTTTTAAACTAATAGAGCTAAAATTGATCTACCAAGCATACAATTTGCTATGTTATGTTTGTAAGACGGAGTGAACGCGTGTGGGTGTAGCTTCTTTTAAATGCTTGTTTTGTAAACACGAAAATATAATATTTTCTATAGTCAACTTTGAATAAATAAAATCAATGTTAAAATCATATAAAAATCAAACAAATAATGAAAAATTATTTTACCACTGCCAATGATCACTTTTTCTAGTTTTCTTTTTGCAGTTGCAAAATTCAATATTCTTTCATCAATAGTGTTCTTAGAACAAAACCGATATACAACAACCGGCTTTGTTTGGCCCATTCTATGACATCTATCTTGAGCTTGCAAGTCAACTTGTGGGTTCTGAAACATTAGTATTTATGAAGATATAAATTAACATTATTATTTTGTCTAAGATGTTTGAACATTAGTGATAAAAAGTCCCACATGTCCAAAAATGTTTTAATTACTTTATTTAAAATGGTCAACAAAAATATAATTAATCTAAAACCACAAGACACATGTTTTGCAAACATAGATTATGATGTACCACCCAAATTATCATAATAGTATATAATAGTCATACACCATAATTTTATTGAAATGAACTTTAGATTCTGAGAGTGGAACGATGAATGTATTGATTTTACAATGATGTGTGTTTATTATTTTTATTTTTGTGTCTGTCATCACCTTTTAGGACAGTAAAAGTACTTGGATTTTCTTCATCAGTAGTTTTTCTGATAGGAAAGTGAATCTAGTTGGTACTTGAGGGGGGGGGTCAAAAGTATAAATTTCCCAGTAGTTTTCACAAGCGCCAGGAAAAACAACATAAAAATTAAGGAAAAACGGGAATTTTTACGCAAAATTGGTTTTCCAAAAAATCGATTTTGGTTTTTGGTGTAACTCTAAAACAAATGAACGTATATACATGAAATTTTCACTGGTTGTTTATATTTGCATTTTCTATACACGATAACATTTTCAAAATATTTCGATTTATTTTGAACTGTTTAGGGACATTTTCATTTTCCATTTTTTTTTAGTTTTTTTTCTAAAAATATCAATAAAATGTTATTTGTCGGTTGCGAAAGCTTGAAAATTTAATAGAAGGCTCCTAATATATTGTTTCAAAGGCAGATGAAAAATATTAAAAATCCTTAGTCACAATTTTTTTTTATAAGCATTTAAAGTTCAAAAATTGTAAAAATATGGAAAAATCACGAAAATTAGCGAATTATTTTGAGTTAAGAATTCGTAAAAATTTGTCTTTTTAAATCTAAGATTTGAAAATGTAATACAAGATTACTCATAAGTTTGTCTACCTTTAACAATAAAAAAATCTCTACCGGAAAGTCAAATTAAATTTTTATGAGCGTTTGAAATTCAAATTTTTAAAACATTGGATGTTCACTCGATTTCTCATGTAGCGATTTCCTTATTTTGTTGTAATTCAAAAACGAATAACTGTAGATACATGAAAATTTCACTTAATGTTTATATTAGCATTTCCTATACACTATACAATTTTGAAAATATTTTGACAGTTTTACAAAAATGTACAAGACAAAAATTAAAATATAATTCATAAAATGTGAAAAAAAGTTTTTAATAAATGGGATTAAAGTAATAAAGAATGATAAATAGACCAATAAAGGCCAAAAAATATGTAAAAGTAAAAAAATTCATAAAAAAAAAAAAGAATTCTAAATTGAGGTAATTTGTACTTAATTCAAACATTGTGTTAAAAAGTTATGTCTTACAATAAGTTAAAAATAATTAATTTTCCTATAAATTCACAGCCTTATACAATATAAGGAGATTTAAGTAGGTATCAATATATGAAGAATGGTGAGGAGCAAAGCCCCTTTCTTTACTTTAATACACTAAAAGTGATTATATGAGAATTTTTTTCCATACCCAGTCGCTGTCGAATAAAATAACAGTGTCTGCTGACGTTAAATTTAAGCCAAGTCCACCTGCACGTGTTGATATCATCATTAAAAAACATTCTGGATCACTGTTAAATGTAGCCATTGCATCAACTCTAAGTTGAATACTCATAGTTCCGTCCAACCGGGTAAACGAAAATTTACGAAACATCAAAAACTCTTCAATTATATCCATTAACTGTGTCATTGTAGAAAATAGCAACACCTAAAAATTCAATACATAGGTACTGTTAGTAAAAAATAAAACACTTTCCTTTAAGTATTTAAATTTCAAATTGTATAGTTAATAGTTATAATATTATTCTAAGGATAATATCATTCTAAAATACACTATTGACAAACTTTAAGAGGGCACACAGGTATAATTTTTTTCATTTGTTTTACTGTGTTATATAATTAAAAACTCTCTGTATTTCATCCATTTTAATTTAATCATTTTTGAAATTAAATATTATAATATAATAAAAAATAACATTAATTGTGTTTTGTTGGAAGATTTTTTTTAACATTTTGATTTTAAATTATTTATAATTATAAGTTACTAAAATATTAAATCTTCTGACAAAACATAGCTAATATTGTTTTTATGAGTGTTATAATAGCCAATTATAGGTAATAACTTAATTTCAATAATGTTATCAGAATGATGGAATATGGAAATAAGGAGAAAAGACTTAGTTTTAACTATATACTCTGTCTGTAAGACAGAGAACATATTTTCTTTTACTGATACACCAACTTAATATTCTTTAATGAAGCAATTTAAATATGAGCGTTGAATATTTATTTTTAATGATACATTATTTTACATTAATGATTAGAATGTACCTATCCTTAAACATAAATATATTACCTTATGGCCAAGTTTTTTCAATTTTGTTAACATGGCATCAAGTATCTGAAATTTACCACTAACTTTGGTAATGTTCTCATCAACAAGTAATTTATTTTCCCCCGGAATTAGAGGCATTTGTACAAGATATGGATGATTAACAATTTTCTTCAATTGAATAAATGGGTTTTGCATATGTACTGAAATAGCCATATTTTTAACTTGAGGACTAAAATTAATAACAATATAATTAGTCACGTAATATTGTAATTTCATATTATATGGTTAGTAGATTTCAATATTTTACTTAATGTTATAGCTATGTTGCCTTAAAAGAAAAGATCAAAATAAAGTACAAAAAACTAATGTCCATAGACCAACAACTATAATTATTAAATCATCAAAAATAGGTCAGGCAAACAAAGTTATGTTGGTGTATTCCATAGTAATTTGAATTGTAAAATATATAATGTATGTAATCAAAAATGTCTCTTTATATTTTATATTTTATCCTTAGTGGGGCAGTTTCTCCCAATACAGTACATTGACAACCAAGGAATGTAAAAACCACAAGAGTAATTATTTTTTTTATGAAAAACACTTTGCAAGAGTCTGTAAAAAGGTCAAGATGTCTGTAAATAACTGTGGTGATGTGAGAGGATCTACCGGAGCAATAGCATCGGCTAACTAGTCAGATTTCAGAATTCAATATTAAAAATGATGATTTTAATGCATTGATAGAAAGATTCAAATTATTTGTATTATTGAATGAGATTAATGCGCATAAAAGAAAATTTGTTTCTTACATTTTTGGGTAACAACAGCTACTCATTAATAAGAGCCCTGTGTACAAGGCCTGTTTAGTCAAGGGGCTCCTACGATTTTAGTGGTCGGCCTCATTGATTACATCAACGAAAGCTAACACTTTGAAGGAATACCAGGACCAATGTGACAGTTGGATTCTCAGACTATGACCTCATCAACTATACTCTGAGATATATAACGTGCAGGTATGGCAAGGCACATACAATAATTTATTGATGAAATACAAAAGATATAATAATAATAGAGGCAATGGCTAATGATTTGGTACCGGCGCCTCAGTAGCAATCAATAGGAAAAATACAAAATATAAATATTAACACAGAATAATCAATAAATGATACTATCAACACATAATATGATAATAATAACAGGTAATCATAATAATAACCAACACTGGACTATGATAAATAATTACGCGCGTCTCCTGCGACCGTTTGGGATGACTTGGCTGTTGTCAACTCCGACTTGATAGTAGGTAGTAGGTACAATAATATGACCGCTGACTTTTGAGACCACACGTAACACTCGTCACGGGATGCGGCGGCTACGATGACGTATGACAGAAAATACAGGTGTGGGTTCGGTTTGATCAGAACCGAACGCACGCGTATTATAGGCGATTCACAGATGCTCGCCAAACCAAACAGCGGCCGTATAACAATAGCAGCACAGGTCGCACGAACAACACTTTAATATAATATAACAGTCGGTCGACCTGGCACCGTATAAGAAGCAATAACACGACCAACGAAGCGGTGAAGAACAGCCTATGGAGGTTACAACGAACGGATGAAATATAATAATATTGTTACGGCGTGATATGGCGGCACGCGTTACGTGGACGGCAAATCAAGTCGCGATCACAAGCACAAGGCAACACGGAACCGTATATCGGCCAGCGCAACGACGACACAACGACGGACCGTACGTTGACAAAGGTCGTTGGGTAACTAATTAGGTCAACGTTTCACGGGGTCTACGCGGACGTGCGTTATCGGTGACAGCATGCTAGACGGGCGGGGGACGGCACGACCGGTTCATACTTCATAGACGCATTGGCTATACATCGACTGCGGCGCTCGAACAAGGCCGTATATGAGGGGGAGGGGTTTGGGGGTTCTAACTTAATTATAATAATTTACCATGTGGCAATGTGGGTATACCTAATAATATGATAACTATATTATGTTTGATTATTGATTATAGCCTATAGGTATTGTTAAACATTTTATTATAATCAAACTAATACAAATTCTGATGTCGTTTTCTATAACATAATATAATATTATATTATTATATTATACTTAGATAAGTCACAAACTATTAAAGACGTTTTGTTGTCGGAGGCGAAACGTCTATAATAGGTACTTAATATATTATTGAACAACAAATTCTTTTATTAAATATATAACTAATAAAAGCACTGATATGGCTAAAAACAACAACAGGGGTTGTAGATAAGAAATGTATTTAATTAAGCATACAGCCATGTGTAAAAATGATGGAACAAGGAACCCTTGGGTACCTGGTATCATTCTTAAGACATTGCCACCTGTTAATTACTTAGTGGATGTGCATAATGCCGGGTTTACACGATGCGTAGTACTTGTCATTAGTAGGAGGGGGTAGCTACTTGTCGTTAGTAAATAGAACGGCGTCCTATTCACTCGCACTCCCGGTTTTACTAATACTAAGCACTATTTTTTTCTGTTTACACGCAATGTGCAAGTGCGAGTGACAAGTACTAATGACAAGTACTACGCATCGTGTAAACTAGGCATAATAGTAAACTGTGGAAGAGGCATGAACCAAATAATCAATAGAGTGATAAGTAAAAGTAGTGAGGTTGAAATTTTTAATGGTGGTATGTATGAGAGTACAGTTGATAATAAACAAATTGAGCCAGTCGAGCTAGATCAGGAGGTTGCATCAAGTGACAGTAATGATAATGTAGACCCTGCTACTAATAATCCTGTGTCAACACATTTTTATAAGAGTGGAAGAATAATCGAATCAGCTAAATGTTCGGATTTATAATTTTAAGTCACTACATCAGTTTTTGTATATTTAGTTTGTTATATTACTTTATGTTTTAACATTTATATTTATTAAAATAATGTTACTTAAAATTTAAAAAAAAAAATGTATCAAATTATTCATTAATTATTTAATAATTCTATTGTATTGTTTATATTATATTATTAGTGTATTTGAAATTAAGTAATTATCTTTAATCTTTATTGTTCTCATTAAGAAGTGTGAGGGAACTGTAATGTATGTGTTATCATTTTCGTACATAAATTTAAAATGTACAATAAAGAATCATTCGTACAAAAACCTCCGTGTTGTTAACTTGCGCGTTTCTCTCAATACAGTACACGGTACCTAACATATATCTATAAAGTTCTATTAGTGTACGACTTTACGAGGCATTGATAAGAAATATAATACAGATTATTACTTTAAAATGGGTTATAATATATATTTTTTTTTTTTGCCCATTGTAAGAAAAAACGCAGTTATAAACAAAATCTAGACAATTTTACACTTACTCTATTTCTGGCACATTTACTCTAATAGCATTTAGATCAGTGTATTTTATTATACTTTCCACACATCTTCTCTTAGTTTTTACTTCTAGAATAAGATCTTCAGTATCCTGAAAAAAATCTAGTTATTAATGACAAATTATGACAATTATTATTATTAAAAGTAGTAGTATTAGTTTATGAGAGGAACAAAAAATAATTATTGGTTTCAAAATGTGTTTTATTATTTTATCTAGAATAATAGAATTCAGTAAGTCATACCATCTAATTTAAACAATATGCAAAGAAATGTATTATTATTAAAAAGCTTAACTTTAGTAGACTATATTGGAAAGACCAAGAGTAAGAATTAGTAACAATGAAAATGTAACATGTTGGAAAAATTCCTTCTAAAAAGAAATTTGCTTATTTCAGTGGCAAAGCGTCATAGAAGACAATGAAAAAAATCTCCCCACTTACAAATTAGATCAAGGGAAAAATCTTTTTGTTTCATGAAATATTTACAAATTTGAACGTCATTTATATTATAAAATATAATATGATGTGTGTTTCAATATTTGTTAAAATCAGTTTTTGGTTGTACAGTAATAGAATTCTTAATATAGATTACAAAAGATACGTTGCAATGTCTCCCAATTATGGATGTACAGGGGGAATTTGAATGGGAGTGGGGTTTACTATGTAAGCTATGAGACGTGTCTTGCCATTCATATTACCTCAGTCCTCAATTATTGACATCGCCGAATAAGTGCCATTTTTATTTCAATGTCTCCCCAACCAAAAACTCACGCCTCGCCACTGGTTTATTTCCTCATAATATATTTGTAAAATATAAACTTGTTCTAAATCTTCTTTATGTACAAAGTAACATTTTTTTTTTATCATTAAAAATATTTAATTGTGTTATCTCAAAAACTGTGTTGGATAAAATGCAATGAATTATGAATATATTATGAGAAATTAAAAAAACATTTTTGTTCACATTTCTCAAAAACAGACATTTTCCCTATTCCTCATATGTTTGTTTATAAAGGAAATGATTCCACATTTCACTCCTCAAAATGGAAATTGTTCTATTAATCTGTTTATTTTGGAATTTGGTTCACCCCAACACAGGAAAATGTACAGAGTAAAGCATTAATTATCCAGTGTCTCAATTATCAAATTATCAAAAAAAAATACCTTTTTTTTATTCAGTAAAATTTCCATTTGTTTATTCAATGTTGCTTCATATAATTGTTTTTGTGTTTCTGTAAGTGGAGCATAAATAACAATTTCCTTTTTCGGTGGGAGGTTTAGATCAGTTTCATTTTTTTCCCGTCTCAAAATAAAGGGTTTTAATATCTATAACAAAAGATAACAGATAATTTTTCTTGTATTTTTATATTGTGTATAGTAAAAAAAAAATAGCTAAAGCTGGTAGATAAGTTCCAAGCTACTTATTTAATATTGAAAATAATACAAATAAATTATTGGCCCTAACACCTTTGTCTACTTATGAATCACAAATTAAATACTTTTATGATTATTTATTAACACTTGGAAAAATATATTTTGAATATATCTTTGCTGAAACATCAACATTCAAATTTAAAATGAATTACTTAAAGGTGATAAATATAAATCCTTTTGAGCACAGAAGTTCAGTTGTAAATTTCATTTCTTAATTACTAATTAGTAATATATTATTCTTAGATTTTAGGAACAAAAAATCATCTTAATCATATTTTTAATTCATGGAATATACTTATTTCACAATAGTGAAAAATAGTTGGTAAAAATAAAAATGATCAAACTTAATTGCATTTTATTCATGAAATAAATTATTTTAAATCTGCT